GAAAATGCAGACTTCAAGCTTTGCTGTATTTTCTTTGCTCTACATCCTCCTCCTCTGTTCAGTTTCATGGTCATGGGCTACATCAGATTCAACTCACTGGACCTTTTTACAGTGCCTCGAAATCCATTCTCAGTCATCCATCCCAATCTCAGAAGTGCTGTACTCCCCAAACAATTCTTCTTATTCATCTCTCTTGCTATATCCTGTACACAATCTTAGATTTTCGTTGCCTTCCACCCCTAAACCTCTGCTCCTCATCACACCATTGAATGTGTCTCATATCCAAGAAACTGTAATTTGTTCTAGGAAAGCAGACCTGCAACTCAGAGTTCGAAGCGGTGGCCACGACTACGAGGGCCTTTCATATGTCTCTGATGTCCCGTTCATCATTGTTGACCTGCTGAATTTTCGATCAGTTGACGTTAGTATAGAAGATAACAGCGCATGGATTCAAGCTGGAGCAACTCTTGGGGAGGTTTATTACAGAATTGCAGAGGCAAGTAAGATCCATGGCTTCCCCGCCGGGAGCTGTTCGACTGTAGGCGTCGGTGGGCACTTCAGTGGAGGTGGGTTTGGTCTGCTGTTCAGAAAATACGGCCTGGCTGCTGATAATATCATCGATGCTTATTTAGTCGACGTTAATGGTAGAATTCTTAATAGAGAATCCATGGGGGAAGATTTGTTTTGGGCCATCAGAGGAGGAGGCGGAGCAAGCTTCGGCATCATCGTATCTTGGAAAGTCAAACTAGTTCCTGTTCCCCCAGTGGTGACTGTTTTCAGTGTTGATAGAGCCTTGGGACATGGTGGTACAACAAAGCTTATACATAAATGGCAATTCGTTGCCGACAAGCTCCATGAAGACATCTTCCTCCACATCTACATAGCAACTACTACAGATCAGAAGGGGAATAGAAGTGTTCAAGCTTCATTCGACTCTATGTTTCTTGGGGGTTCTGAGAAACTTCTGCAAATGATGGATGCCAGATTTCCTGAGCTGGGTTTGAAGCGAGAAGACTGTATTGAAATGAGTTGGATTCAATCCGTCCTCTATTATGCAGGTTTCTCAACCTCTGAACCCTTGGAGGTTTTGCTGGACAGGAGGCCTCAGTTCAAGAGCTTCTTCAAGGCAAAGTCTGATTTTGTGAAAGAACCCATTTCAGAAACTGGGTTAGAAGGAATATGGAAAAGGCTTTATGAAGATGAAGGGGCATCTATGATCTGGACTCCCTATGGAGGAAAGATGAATGAGATTCCAGAGTCTGAAATCCCTTTCCCTCATAGAAAGGGGAACATCTATAAGATTCAATATGGTGTGAACTGGGAAGAGGGAGGAATTCAGGCATCCAGAAGGCACATAGGATGGATCAGAAAACTATACAGGTACATGAGGCCCTATGTATCCAAGTCTCCAAGAGCTGCATATGTCAACTATAGGGATCTTGACTTGGGTACCAATAGTAAGGGTAATACAAGCTATTCCCGTGCCAGGATTTGGGGTGAGAAGTATTTCAAGAGTAACTTCAAGAGATTGGTTCATGTGAAAAGCATGGTTGATCCAGGAAATTTCTTCAGACATGAGCAAAGCATTCCATCATGGAGATCTTGATTTTTTTTTTTTCTGAAAGTAAAGAGATCTTGATTTGGATACATCTATAGCTTCTATCATGAAATAAGTGTATGGATTTTGTATCTTCGTCTTTTTTCTCTAGTATCTTCATCTTTAATCAAATTTAATAAAATGGTTCTGTTATTGATAAAAAACTAAATGCCGGGATTTTGTAATAAGAATTCCAATACAAGTGACTTCTTTTTAAGTAAATAGGTTTGATCATTTTTTCATATTTTATGTTAATATTTGCCACCACCAATAAAGGTGGAATCATGGCCTCATGGGAACATGCATCTAAACATATCTTAACCCCACCCATTTTCCACGTTTAATTGTTTTTTGAGACTTTTGCTCTTATGCCATGTAGGGATGCAACTTGAAGCAAAACTAAATTAAATTTAGTCTATTTACACTCCCATGTATGTACATCACTACAAATGAACTTCGCAGTTCGCACCACAAACAAATTTAGCCTAAGATACAATTTTGGTAATATCGAGAGCCAAAGATTCCGATCCCAAGATACAATTTTGTTCTTTTTTTGTACATTTGAAAGTTGAAACCTGTTCAATGCTACATACAAACAAATTAACAATTGACACAAAAAAAAAAAGAAAAAAAACCACGAAAGAAGAAAATAGAAGGGCAGTAATAGTCAATAGTGTATGAGGCTCATGCCACATCCAAATCAGATCATATATATGCATTATTATACATCGAGCCAAGGTTTAAAATTTCGTCACGTATCAACCCGTATCGGCCGATACATATCGATTTTTCGACTTACTGGTATGAGAACGGTCCTAAATCGAAGGTACCGTCTCTTTTCGTTATATGCCGAAACAGTATCAACTTTGCATCGGGCTGGTATCGGCCCATTTCGGTATGATCCGGCCGATATGCTACCGATACGGTAGCATATTGGCCAATACATGACGAATTCACTGTTACAAATAGAATAACCTTTGAAAGAGGGCTTCTAAACCCATTTCAGAAGCCCTCTTTCTTCCCCAAACCCTCCAGAAACTTTCTTTACATTTCTAGAGACTCAAATCTAGAAAAACCCATCAAAACACCTTCAAAATTGAAATATTCAACAAGTTTTTCAATGTTGTTTAAAAAGTAGCGAAAATATGATGTTTTTTCAAAATTTTTTACATTTTTAGCCAATGTTTTTGGGTATTCTTTTAGTTTGGATGCTTGAAACATCTTTATGTATGTTGATCTTCTATTCTTATTAGGGCTGCAAGTTGGGCCGGGTTAGGTCGGGTTGAGGCAAACCCTAGCCCAACTCTAAGTTCTAAACCCCAACCCTAACCCTAACCCAATCCTACCTTCAACCCGACCAACCCAACCCTAACTAAATTCCTTCGACCCTAACCCAACCCGAAGTCAATTTCGGGTTGGGTTGGGCTTGGATTGGGCCCAACCCAACCTTCTTCCCATCCTTTTAAAACCTCATAGAATTTCTCGATTTTAGATCTTAACTCAACTTTCACTACATATATTAATCCTATGTTTCATTAGTATTTGTTTGTTGACGTTATTTTTTGTTCTTTTAATACAAAATAAAAAAAAAAACAAGTGTTAGAAATGACTATACTTTATTATGAGTTATGACTTACGATAGATCTTTCTTGGGTGGCAAACAACAAAGAAGAGATGAAGAAAAAAAATTTCAAAAAACATAAAATAGTGTTATTAAGGTTTTAGTTTTTCTGATTAGGATTAAGTGAAGTGATTATCTTAAAAGAAATACATGATACTATGTGGTGGGGACTATACAATTATCATGGATCTAAACAAATCAATGTATGTTATATATTACATATAACATATATTTATATATAACATGTACTATAGAGTTGAATTTGGGTTGAGTCGGGTTGGCTAAGGGGTCAACCCTAACCCAATCCGAAGTAAAATTGGGTTCATGAATTTCAACCCTAACCCTAACCCGAACATCAACCCGACCCAACCCAACCCAACTTTAGGGTTGGGTTTGGGCCAACCCAACCCAAGTTGCAGCCTTAATTCTTATGCAAAAAATCCCACTTATTTTTATGCTATATGTAAATCTTTGTGAATATTTGAAGAAATTCTAGTATAATAAAATATCTAAAAAAATAAAATTTTTAGGTTTTTATTTTGATCTACCTCTAGAAATTGATTATGTTGTAGATCTATGGATGATCTACCATGTCCATAGATCAATTGAATTTTTTTTAAATAATTGATTTTTTTTATTTTTGTTATTGTTCATAAGAAATAAAAAATATATAATTTCTTTAATTTTATGTGATCTAACCCTATAGGCTGAGTATGTTGTAGATCTATGGATGATCTACCATGTCCGTAGGTCAAATGAATTATTTTCTAAATAATTGATTTTTTATTTTCGAATATATATATATAATTTCTTTAATTTTATATGATCTATCCCTATAGAGCAGAAAAAAAAACCTATAGATTGAGTATGTTTTAGATCTATGGATGATCTACCATGTCCATTTATCAAATTCATTCAATTTTCTGTTATATATTTATTTTCTTAATTTTAATTTAAATTTTAGAACAAAACATGAAAAATAATTACTTGATCTATTATGTCCATAAACCCATTTAATTTTTCTGTTACATATTTACTTTTCCTAATTTTAATTTAATTTTTAGAATAAAACAAGCAAAATAATTATTTGAATATATAAAAATAAATAACTATTCAGTTTTTAGAAAATTAGAATGAAACATGCAAAATAATGTCCATAAATCCATTCAAATTTTCTAATATATATTTACTTTTCTTAGTTTTAATTTAATTTTTAGAAAAAAACATCCAAAATAATTATTTGAATAAAAATAAATAATTGTTCAATTTTTAGAAGATTAGAATGAAACATGCAAAATAACTACTTGATCTATTATGTCCATAAATCCATTCATTTTTTCTGTTACATATTTACTTTTCTTAATTTTAATTTAATTTTTAGAATAAATTAATGAAACATCCAAAATAATTATTTGAATAAAAAAAATAATTATTTAGTTTTTAAAAAATTAGAATAAAACATGCAAAATAATTGCTTGATCTATTATGTCCATAAATCCATTCAATTTTGCTATTACATATTTACTTTTCTTAATTTTAATTTAATTTTTAGAATAAAACAAGCAAACACATTAGAACTGAATTGAGTACTTATTAAATAGTATGTTTTTGTTCCCGTATATTGATTATAATATTTTTTTTTTCATAAAACCCACTAAAACATGTTATTTTTATACATAAATAACCCATTTATGTCTTATATTTAGTGATACTGATGTTTATTTATGATTTATTGGAGTATTTATAGCATTTCCATGTGTATCTTAATCTTTCGTCCATATCCATGCGTATCGAAAGCGTATCCCATTACGTCTCTTAAATTTGCCTTTCCGATACGCATAGCATTTCCGATACTTTGAACCTTGCATCAATCTCAAATTTTTATTGGATTGGATGGAGTGAAGAAATCCACATAGAGTTAGATTATAAAACCGATGCAAGTTTTAACATCCAAATGCAAGATAGTTAGATTGACTATCAATATCTTGAAGGTTGTGTTCCGTACCATTTTGTGACTTTTACTTGTAACGTTTTAGGTTGATCAATACAAATTTTATGAGAATATATATATATATATATATTTTTTTTTTCTATCACAAATGCTTGGAGTTATCAATATAACATTGGATACCATTGTTGCTTCTTAAAGAAATGGCAAATTTGGTGGTTCTACTTTAAATGCCAACACCAAATTCAATGCTTGTATTTTTTTTAATGGAATTCAGGAAATGGTTATTTGATGTGATATGACAAAACAATTTCTCAAAAATTTACATTAACCAATACAAAACACAACCAAAGTCTGCTGACAATCCTAATGAAAATCATAGCTACACACAAACGGATGTAAAACTAAACTGGATGCAGAATTTATATCCTATTCAGATTTACATTACAAACAAATACAATTTAATAGTGCTACAATTAGTGATAAAATAAAATAACCATATACAACACCCTTCAGAAGTGATTTGATGATGTTGATGATGATGACGATGACGATGATGATGACAATGATGATGATGATGAATGCAATAAAATTAATTGAACATAACTTTGAAAATAAAAAATAAGATCCACCGAACAATCTACTCTTCAGTGGTACCTGTGACAATTGCTAGGGTATCCCAACAATTGGACTTCCGGCACATAGGTCTTCAATTATATTGGATACAGATCGAATTTCTAATAACTTAAAATGGTTTCCCAGTTCTTTAAAAGTTAATATTGCTTCTGACCAGCAGTGATCGAGAGCTGGAGGCAAGAGTGGAGAAAGTTTTTCAATGACAATCAGGAAGCAGAGTTAATGAAATCCCCCGATAACCAAAAGTACAAGTCTTTTCAATGACAATCAAGAAGCAGAGTTRATGGAATCCCTCGATCATCAGAAGTATGCCAACTCTGAAAACATGAAAGGATAGCTTCAAGGTTTAACATGTTCCCTGATGAACTGTTCAACCTGCACTATTTCCCCCGTCTGTCCAGAAGCTTCAGCAACAGYCACCGTGTTAAGACATTGAGAAAATGCAAAGGCCTCTCCGGTGACGCCAAGAGTATATTCGTTAGTTACGTGAGCTGCTGATATGGCAGTTCTTGATGCCCGTAGTTTGTCTCTGCAAAGTTCATAGACAACCAAAAGAGAAGTTTATTTTTTCAGTTCAGTGAACATTATCTGGTGTAAACTAAGATATTGTTGTCCAACGAATAGACATTCTTTTCATGGCGTCCAACCTGCAGTAACATCAACCCCCTTCTCAAACCATGTTTACCATGCTTAGAATCAGTTACATTTTGTATGAACAGCTTGAAACAGCTTAAACTTTTGATGAATAAGTATTTTATTAAGATTAGTAGCAGTGAACTGACAAGTACATACAAACCAGAGTTGTCCCAAAAGGCGTTAGTTGCTGCTAGACCTGTTCATGGGCCAAGTAGCCTGATGGCCCAACCAGGCCCAGCCTGACCCCCGGTCAGGCTTGGACATATTATTAGACCAACTTGGGCTTGGGCTCGGGCCCTATTATCTAAGGGTCTATTCATTTGCTCTGAAGTCTGACAACTGAAAGTGTAATAATTACATTAAGAAGTATATTGGTATCAGTGAACTTTTCTTTCCTCTAAACTTTGAATGTAGAGAATGTTGTTCTGAATTCTAAATTATAAAAAAATTATCAAATATCCATTTTGACCCTATATATGAGAGTTTTTGTTTGTCTTTTCGGGGGTATCATTGGAAAACAAAAAGTTGTATGATTGCACTTTAAGAAATAAGAGATAGGAAGAAACGAACACCCGTTTTTCTGTTGAAGTTAAAAGATCCCTCTTAAGAAATAAGAGTTAAGAGGAAACGAACAGGCCCTAAGTCCGACATAATTCCTGGATGGGCTCGGGATTTTACCAAAAAAACAGCCCGAACCCAACTGGCCCAACAATATTTTATATAATAAAATATTAATAATATATTATTAAAAATATAATAATATACATTTTTTTATCAGCAAAGAAAATCATTTATTGATTTAAGTCTAAAATTAAGATACAATACTTTCCATAGCAAAGTAGTTTACGATACCTGTTTGGCTAACACATCTGAACCCATTAGCTTCCCTTTTAACCCAATTGAAGGTAGAGTTAAATCTCTTTGCATGTTGGTCAATCTGTCTAAAAGTGAATCTTAACTTCCAAGGTGCTGACTCAATTTGACACTACACTGTTTATATTTTTCCTAACCCTAATTTTTTCATTCGACACTCATAGTTTTCAAGGCACCAAGGCGAGGCTGGGCAATAGGGGGGCACCTAGTCACCTAGTCGCCTAGGCGGGCACCTAGGCAATGATTTTTTTTTTTTAAGTAAAACCATATATCCTAGGGTAGTTCCCTAGGTTCCATAACCATCTTTCCTTAATAATTATTCATAATTTTCGTAAGAAAAGTATAAGTTTCATGTTTAAGTCAAGAAAACCAACATTTTATGAGAAGAAAAAGAACAAAGTAAAGAAAATTCAAAAAATATAGGGGCTGAACCCCTACTTTTGTTATAGGAAAAGAAGAAAAGAAAAGGTGGAAGAAGAAGAAGACATGGAAGAAGAAAATGTGTTGATTAGACAAAATTTTAAGTTCTTCCTTTGTTTATAGGTTCGGGTTTTGAAAATTTTGAGGGTTCAATCAAGGATCAAAATTTCGATACGATATGCCCCATATTGGGTGTATTGTATTCTATCTTTGGGGTCCCGATAGCTGTTTACAGGTGTTTTTGGGGGACCCATTTTAATAGTTATAAGTACCGATACACCTCTGCCAATAATACATAGAGGTGTATCTATACTGTGAACCATGGGTTCAATACAGCAGTTAGCAATGTTGCATTAATTAAACCCTAAGAAAATAAGAAAATAATAAAAAGAAATTAGTATATAAATACATAAAATGAATAATCTAGTTTAATAATGTCAATTTTATAATTATAATGTCAAAAATTAAAATAATAAAAGTATTTTATAACCCAGTGCACAAAATTGCTAGGCGACTGGGCGAGGCGTGCCTCCAAGGGCGCCTTGTTGCCTAGGTGCCCGCCTAGGCGTTGCCTTGACAACTATGTCGACACTCATCCTCCCCTGTTTTGTTCGAAGTTCGAACCTGGACTGAAAGTTTGGAACTTGGAAGGCTTCTTTCCTTCCACAGCGGTGGCCTGAAGGCAGCAGTTGTATCATCTACACTATAGTTATATCCTCTGAGAGGTACTTCAGACTCAAGCATTTCAGCAATATTTGCCACTGTAACAGTGTTTTGCATGCTCCTGCCAATCCATGTTAATCTCTTATTCATTTGGCTGCACTTATCTGGTTTGTTTCATAGGTTTTGTCTTTGCTGCATTACAAGGTGAAATCTCATTTCAACATGTATCTCTTCATAGTGTAATTAATTGATCTGTGCAATTCAGGAGTTCTTAGTGAAGATATCTTAGTGAAGATATCTACATGCAGCAGCCGCAAGGCTTCATTGCTGCTGGTCAGGAACACATGGTATGTAAACTTAATAGATCCATATATGGACTCAAGCAAAATTCTAGGAGTTGGAACATCCATTTTGATTCAGGTATGGCTATCACAGGAAGTCTAGTGGGGATAAGATCACCTTTTTGGTGTTGTACGTGGACGATATCCTACTCATTGGGAATGATGTAGGAATGTTGACTTCGATCAAAGTATGGCTGTCACAATAGTTCTCCATGAAAGATCTTGGAGAAGCTTCATACATACTRGGTCTTYGWCTCTATAGAGATAGATCGAAGCGGATAATTGGATTATCCCAGGCTGYTTACATTGACAAAATTGTCAAAAGATACAACATGGAGAACTCCAAGAAAGAAAATGTTCCTTTCAGGCATGGAGTCACTCTTTCCAAGATGTCTCCAAAGACTTCTAAGGAGATTGAGGGCATGAGAGATGTT